TCCCCCCCCCCTCCCCAACCTCCCCTCCTTGTACGCCGCGCAACCGTGTCCTCCCGACCAAATCCATAACGGCAAAACCGTGGCGGGAGTATCGACCCATTTCCCCCCCCCGTTTTGCACCCTTCCTTTGATCGACTCTTGTCTGGCTACATCTTGATCGTCACTCACGTCTGTCAAGTCCTTCTGCATGCTCTTCTTGCCGCGCACCATGGCTCTGGGCCCGTCCACGATGTCGTCGGTGCGCCTGCACCACACGTAGATAGCCCACACCGCCTGCGGTTATCGTGGCGGATGGTTGGGACGAAACGATCAGTAGACACACCACGATCATTGATTGAAACGTCCATGACCAAGGTTGTCGAGTCAGTCATCTACCAACCGACACGAGGATGAAAAAAATTGAAACGTCCATGACAAAGGTTGTTAAAGTATGTTGACTGGGGCGTTGAGGGATCAGCGAACCCGACGAACATAAGTTTGATACATCCAAGACCAACACCAAGGTTCAGAGTTTCACAGGTTGTGCTCGTTGGCTCTTGGAGCCTTCACCGATCACCCATGAGCTAGTTGCCCCGCACCGCCGAAGTGACCGATATCGAAGAGATCAAAGACCGGGGATTCAACGCGAGTTCATCGGTGGCACTTAGGGTGGCAACGGAGGTCTTGCATCGATCTTACTTCTACTTCAACATCGACACAACCTACCTCAAGCACCACAATAAGCAGTTGTCACCATAGCGGTCCTCGACCCTGTCATGCCAAACCTCCTCCGTAATTACTCGGGGGGACACGCGGTTGGGAGGCCAATACAATCTACAGCATACCCGGCTAGCGTTACAACAAAGGACGAGACGCAGCAAACAACACATGAAACCACAAATCCTACCTTGCGCACCGCTGGTGACATGACAGCAACAACACACAGAACCACTGCAATTACGATAGGTCGTACCTTGCGTGCCACTGGCGACATGAACTTGGTCCCGAGGTAAAAGGTCTTGGCGAATATTCCCGTGATACGCTCGCACTCTTGGTAGGCCTTACAGCAGCAGCAGCAGCAACAGCAGCAACAGCAAGGACAGAGACAATGGGAAGAAGCAGTAAGCACAAGGGTAACCAGAAAGACAGAGTTACAGAGAGGCAGAGATAAGAGAGAAAGGCAGGTAGAGAGAGAGGCAGAGAGAGAGGGAGAAGCATACGCGTGTTTGAGACAAGGTGAAAGGTCGAGACTAAGACTACGACAACGATTGCGTCATGTCGCGGTACATCGAACCAGACACCATCGGCACGACTCCCAGCAGTACAGTAGCTGCTGCGATGGGAGCATAAGACGATTCGCTCGTGGGACCGATACCCAAAAAGATAGTACAAGAGACCCCAAGTATCAACGGCTACCAGAGTGAGTAGCGCACAGGTGAGAGTAACAACAACGACAAGATCAGACGAGGTAGGTCCGCTACGGGATGGGCCAACATAGCCATGCCGCCATCGCCGCAATCGTGAAGGGAAGGCTAGCACCACCCCCACTCGGACGAAGGGAAGGCCAGCGTCAGAGCAACAGAATCGCCATCATCACAAACGAGAGAAGATCAGCAGCAGCTGGCGGAGGGAACAGTAAGTACAGCTTCACCGCAGACATCACTGCAGAGACAGCAGCACTTCGCACCACCGATGTCGCGAGCAACAACAAATAATGCATGTCCAACACTACCGGTTCTCGCACCGCAACCTCTAGTCCATTAAAGCCGAAAAAATATCGGCAACTAATCTTGTTCTGGCCATGTCACTGGTTGGTTCCTCAGTGTCAGGACAACAACGACCTCCAGTGTATGTCATCAAGGTGTCCCTCGTGATTGCTTTGCTAGAAACCGGCCAAGCGGTTAGTTACCTGGTTGAGAACCGCACGACGTCGACTCAATTCTGCCGGCCCTTTCGCCAACTCGAGATTCGCCAAGTCTCCCTCAGTCAGACGTTTCGCGTTGTCGACCGCCTGTAATTTTGTAGAAAAAAAAAAAGGTGGAAGGGGGATATGCCAACGTGAAAGAGTGATGGTCATTGTAGACTAAATACCTGCCCTTCGCGATAAGCACACGGCCTGTAAACTGGGAATATGACAGGGAGAGAGAGACAGGGAGAGAGAGAGATGGAGGATACTCGAGCTTGAGACAGCCAACATTGGTTCCGTGTGCTGCGTGGCGTCATCCCCGCGGATGAGCATTATATAGCTCTTTGCCGACAACAGCAGCAACAGCTGCAACAATAACAACGTGTAAGCTGGAAAGAAAGAGCCGGGTGGGTGTCTGTCGTGTGAGCACACTCAAGCGGCATTTGTATAAACACTCACCTTGGTGATGTCCTGGATCGCGTTGAGTCGTGTCGATGATCGAGGTGCGTGGTGTTGTGAAAGACGTTCCGCGGAACATCCCGCATCGATAGAGAAAGAGGGATGCCAGCGAAGAGTGGAAGGGCGGAGGGACCAACGTGTACAATAATGTAAGAGCACAGCACACCGGAATGGTGAGAACTTGACGACTACAGCAGGACCATGCCAACCTCAACGATTTTAAGCAGCACGTGTGCATCCCTGCCCCACCTTCCTGAGCCCCCCCCCGCCCCTCCCCCCTCCATTGTCACGACTTCGGACACAATGGCAAGTGTCTTTGAATGAGAAGGGCTCTGTTCGGCAACAGCAAACTACCACCACGGCCCCCACCACAACAAAAAGCCGTCGATGAAGCTGCACAAGCGTTCTCTTTCCCAACCCGGCACTCCACTCACGTTAGCCGCTGTCCCCGTGCTGGCGGCGGACATGCAGAGAGCCGACGACGCGCTCCCTCCCCCTCTTGCCGCGTGCCCCTCCGCTTCCCTGCTGCTCCTCCGCACCGGCGCGACTCCGTTCTTGTTGTTGTTGATAACGTTAACGTTCAGCTCGGCCGCGCTCAAGGTCGAACAACACCCCCCCCCGAGCCTGCCGAAACATCGCCCGCCGCCGCCGCCGCTAGTGCCGGTAGCTCTGGACGGCCGCACATCCGCCTGTCGTCCGGCGCCGAAGAATTCATAAGGCGGAGGGGGGTTCGCGAACTCGAGAGAGGTTTGAAGCCGTGGTGTGTGGTCTGTCTTCTCATAGCCGTGCATGCCGTAGGCGTTGGACCATTGATCTCGCATCCCTACAAAGCCGGGACGGAGCCCGCCGGGTTTTCACCGCGTAAGGCTATGGAAGCGGTGGAGGGGGGGATCTGGATAAGTTGTTGCCGCAAAAGAAAAAAGGCAAAAACCACGTGCAAGCGCCGCCACCGGTGGATCGGCCTGCCTAAATAAACATCATCCATACAGCCGTACCCCTCTTCTTCGGCAAAACCAACGAAGAATATTTTTTGGTACCACCGCCCCCGTCAAGTCTTCTTCTTTGGGAACGGTTGCCTGCGTACGACGTGCTTCAAGTCGCGGGCTTGGGACTCAAAAAAATAAAATGAAATAGCAACGATGTTGCTGGGTACTCATTGGTATTTCGAGTTCGAATTCCTTTTGGGGGCTTCGAGAGGGGTACGCGGAACTACGTGTGTTCCTCGCTCGTCACATTGCGGCACCCGTTACACGGCTGCCGTGTGGAGGGTAGGGTTTACAAGACTTGATTGGACCTGTGCAAGCAGCTATTACACATCTGGCTGTCTGCCCATCTACCGCCTCTTTGTCCTGTTTGCTCCGTTACTCCCATACCCTGGTGCGTAGTGCCTGGTGCTGATACGTTACCCTTTGATTTTTGCTTTGGGCGGGTGTGGGAAGCGTCCTCCTTTATTTCTGTTTTGGTTTTGTTTCGATCGGTTTACGAGGGCTCTTTTCTAAAACGGTCGGTGCGGTACCTGTTATTTTCTTTTTATCATTTTGTTTTCTTTTTCCGAGTGGTTTGTACCCTATTTTTGTTTTGTTCCCCGCGGCGTCGGATGTGCCGGGTTTTGAGACCACGGGCTCCCCATTTTTTGTGGACTATAGAGCTGATGTGAGAAACAACAACAGCAAGAACAACATATGCATAAGAGACGGAGGACACCCGCCTTTGCGCAGAGCGTTCAGCATCTTGCCTCAGGAACGTTCCGAGATATGCAGTTAGTTCTTCAGGCCCCAGCGAAGGGTGCTGGAGTTGGAGGGCATTCTTTCGGGATGGCATGCTCCACTCCGATACACTCACCCTGTCTACTGCTGCAAGCACCCTCTCTCTCTCAGCGACTCATTGCATTCCTCGCCATTCTTCAGAAAGCGCCGGCAATTAAGAACCTCTAATTTAAGAGGATGGGGTTCTTCGTTCCTAAGTTCATGCCATATACGACGTATGCATAGGTGTTACTGAGGTGCTGTCGTGTTGGGGGTTCTGAACCGAGCCTCGAAATGTTTTGCGAGTTCTTAGATTCTGAGTTTTGTTATAACAGTATATGCAGGCTTAACTGCCAATTTCTCAACGTGCGGGCGCTTGCGGTAGATCAGAGGAACTACCCCTCCGCCGCCGCCGCCGCCGGTGGCCGGTTACACCACCCCGCCGAGAGACTGTCGATCCTCGGGTGTTGAGAGGCTTCACAACACTGCTGTAGCGCAAGAGAACGCGTTCCTTTCCTCTCTCAGTGCAATTCATCTACAGCAACGCTGGAGACCAAGAACAACGCCATTACGAAGAGCGTGAAGGGTTATACGTATTGTATGACATGTCGTGTAGATGAAGGGAGCACCACCACGCCCCGCGTGCGTGCATGTACGGATCGAATCACCGTGCGTGTTGCTGGTTTAGCCTTGGCTCCTCTTCATGATGAAAGCACTGGGACGCTGTTGGAGTCGCCGCCTGCAGGTCCCCGCTCAGGTAAGGCTGCTATCTGAACCGCTTCATACGCGCTGGCAATATTAACACTCCCATTCCATCGGACCACGTTCTCTGCCGCGTCGGCATCAACAATGAGGGGGCACCTTCCCTCAGTCTGGTTCCATGCTCAAACCGCCGTGTGAACCATTTATTTGCCGCAGGGGGATATGAACAGATGCCCGAAGGCTGAAGAGTCACGTTAAGGAGGAAGGCCGCATTCGGAAACTTCCGATAATTTTCGAATGAAACAACATTGGTTCATTGGGGGGAGGGTGTTCGCGACATTATACACGGCTTCCCTGTCGGTACGGCTGTACCAGGTGGTGCACGTACCGGTACCAAGGGCCTGTATTGGTGGGAAGGTCTAGACAGGCGAGGTCGACTTCGATTCGAGGAAATCAAACAGTCCAGCAAACAGCGGCCGACTCTCGCACTTGTCATTCGAGTCGGGGCGGAGTAACAGCAGCCGGCGCATTGGAATGTGTAGCTGCATCCGTGGGAAGCAAAACGGTATGTAACTCCGCCGCTACTACTGTACGCCATACGAACCGGATGCGGCTGCGCTGGTGCTCCGACGAGGCCTGTATGTAGGGATCAGTCGCCACAGGGCGACATGAGTACACATATTAACCTGCTGTTGGTCAAATACTTGTGAGTGTCTCCGGAGACCACATGGTCTACACAGACGGGTGCTGCTGTAGGCTGAAGGGTTCACGGCTGAAGGTTTTACCTCTCACCTCTCACCGTGTGGCAAACAACAACCAACAAACTAAAGCGCCCTCACAGAGCAGAGCTACTGCTGTCTGTACACCAGCAACCCCACCAAACAAAAACAATGCTGTGTACCATCCCTCAAGAGTCCCTAGACTGCGCATAGCCCCCACAACAGACGCGCGCAACAAGCAGTGCTCACCTGCGGAGCCAGCGCGAACCCCCTGGCGCAGGGCGGCATTGCAAGCGTTGTTGCCGCCGCAAGCAATGCCCATCGCCTGCCCCTTGCCCCTCTCCCTCCCCTCCGTGATGGTGTTGCCGGCAGTGCTGCAGCAGCAACAGCAGCAACAGCGTGACGCGCTCCTCCTCCTCCTGTTGGCAGAACAGCCATGATCGTCGTCTCCAGGCAACCCCCCCCTGTCTACCCCTCGCTTTGTGATGGTTAGCCACCCTGGTCTTCTTGGTCTATTTAGTCCCGCCGGCCTCGCCTGCTGAAACAAAACAGCGTAAGACAGTAAGTCTTGCATATGATACCATATGCTGCGGCGAAACTGGAAAAGATTCACAGCGGCAAGCAGCGAGAGCAGAGAGATGGAGAGCGAGCGACTGATAGTAGGTGGCGACGTTGCAAAACTGCCAGCGAAGCAGGGAAGGTAAAGCCCTTGGCATCCGACTCATGGAGCGAACCCGCTGGATCCAATTCCGATGCAAGCTACTGCTGTTGCTGTTGCGGTTGCTGATTGTGGTCCACGCGACAAGAGCCCTGGATGAGTGCGTACTACACTACACTGCTGCTGTGCTGTACCCTGCGCACACAGCAGTAGTACACATCAGAGACAGCGTGCTCAGCACTCAGAGCGCGAAATTGACGGCCGCACCTGCCAAGCACGCCCGGCAACTGGGAGGGCTAGGGAACCTTTGTCTCCTCGACGCCGCTACCGGAGTATGGATGCACAGGCTCACATTACATGAGTCGCCGCAGCCAACGGGGTACTCACAACATGTGTTCAGCCCAGCCCTCAAAAATCGCGCCTCAAACACGAAGGCTCTTTTTTCCTACACAACCACACACCTTGCTGGCCTCCACTCTCTCTCTCTCGGCCTCACTTCTCTCGCGACTCTGCAACCCGGCGCAGAAAGTCCTCCTCAACTCGCGCTTTTCCTCTCTCTCGGTCGCTGTAAGTTCGGAGCAAGGTGAGGGCGTTGACGCAGCAGGCAACAAGAAGCTCTCTCTCTCTCTCTCCAACAACAATTGGACTTACTTCTGGTCCCGCACAAGAGAGATTGCGTTTTTTTTTTCGGTTACAAAATCACAACTAGTACCTCGTTTGTTTTTTTGCCGACCAAACCGACGGTCGCCGACAGTTTGTCAGGGGGTAAAACATGTGCGTTCCGTGGCTAAAGGAATGCCTTCCGCAGGCTGTACCTCGTCTTGCACGTTCCTCCTTTGTGACCGGTTTTGATATGTCCTGTATCAGTAGCAATATGAAGTTTCGACTTCCACAACTGTCTCTCGTCGTCGAAAACGCAGATACTGCTGTCATGTACTAATATTAGGAGAAACAAATATACACACAGAAAGACTAATAGTCTAGACTACAGGTACAACAGCAGTAGCTCGCGCCGCTGCCGGATACATAAATCATTTTGACGTGTCAGATGTGTGCACATGTATGTATAGCAATGCATCAATACGCCAGAGTCCCCGTCGAGCAGCATGCGCCTTTGGCAGCTGGTCTCGGTCGAAGAGTTGTCACAACAGTTTCTCGACAACATTTGTTTGTTCTAACAACAGCAAATCAGGTAGACTATAGGGAACCACTACATGAAGGCAAACAAGTTGTTGGCCAAAAAATACTTGCTGCATGGGTAAATGGGAGGACACCACAAAGATAGGTCTGAATGTTTGAATACATAGCGCACGACACGACCACGAGTGAGTTTCTCCCCCTCGGGTAACATTTGTCGTCGACCCACAGGTAAATAGTACACCTTGTAACAGCGACCTGCAGGGGATACAAAACTCAAGACTATAGACTACAACCGGCAGCAAGCAGTATTGTAATGTTGGTGTTGTTGATGTCTTCACATTGAAAACCGTTCCATTCTCTCTGCCCTGTACCTTCTCTGTCCGTACTAGTCTAACACTTGAGTGTGGTAGGTGATGATCCGGCAGGTGTCACTGCTTTTTTCTCAGTTGAACGGGCTGTAGGTGACACAAGATACGACACCCCCTTGACCGATTCAATGCCCGGTTACTCCACGACGAAGAGGATGCACAAATGAAACAACGGCCAATGCCCGCCACATGTAACAATCCATCGTGTTGGTGCTCCTCGAGAGGCTTAGACAAAAAAAAATGTCATCATCATGGGTGCTCAACTTGGTCGTCAAAGGGTACACGGCGTCGTGGGAAAGGGAGTGCAATGGCTGCTGCCTCGAATCAAGCATTCATCGATGGGAACGAGATCGAGCAGACTAGGCAATGCTGGCCGTATTTACTCACCGTTTTCCTCATGACAACAACGCTTCGTCGTTACGCATCGTCCCGCATCATGACAAAGGCGACACCTTCAAAAAAAGAGGTACCGAGACTCTCATCTCTATCTCTTCGGAGGACCAGACAGCACGGCGGCTGCTTGAAGCAAGCCGCGTTGCCAAGGAAGGATGTTCTTTGATGGGAACGAAATGCATTATTCACCACCCAACTCCTTAAAAAAACAAACTAAAAGCCAGACATTCATGTGACACACTGCTGCTGCTGCTGCTGCTACGGGGGTCTTGGATCCGATCCCAGTCACCCGCCACCCGACTTTCAACCTATCAACGCTCCCGTCCAGCCTCTCCTTCAAACCAACCGTTTTCCCACGGGTGAATCTCCGCATTATGATAAAAAGGGTGGCACGAAATCACTCCACGTCAAACACGAACGAAGGAGATGCATGTTTATCAACGTCTTTACCACAAACGCTACANGGGGGGGGGGGGGGGGGGGGGGGGGGGGGGGGGGGGGGGGGGGGGGAGGGGTGTACTCATAGCCGAGCATGCCGTAGTTGATACCATTGACCTCGCAACTCTACAAATCTAGCATGGAGCACGCCGGGCTCTCACCGGACGAGGCTCTCACATCACCAAGCGCGAAGCGCCGTGGGGTATTCGGCGAGTCTCATGGAGAGCACGCGCGCGGGGGGGGCGCGTACTCTTATGTTTTGCATGCCTTAGCAGTTAGACCATTGGCCACGCGTACTCGAGAGGACGGAGAACTCGTCCCACAGGACCGATCACGAAAAGGCCAATCGTTCCTTCTACTTGCCAAAGGTGGCTCAATAACTACACTAAACGC